TACACTTTCTCATGGTTTCATTTTGGTTCTTTCTCGTCTTTCGTGCACGCATGATGTGATCAGAACAATCCTCAGTCATGAAACCACAGAATGCTTGTACATTTGCCTTGCTCCAATGAGGTTCCAAATAAGATGATGCAACTCGCAAGATATCCGCCTGTAGCCTGGGTTAAACCATCGAATATTCATGTCTACCGTCAATTAAATACTGTTATCATAACCAGTTAGCTGTTTGTATTGTATTTATAGTTGGTACCTAGTTTAGTTAAATAAATAGTAATTGTTGTTTTCTGTTAGTGCAATGAGCAACGTTTTTTCTGTAACAAAATATGGTCGTTGTTAGAGACGTTGGCCCAACAGGTAACAGTTAAACTGTAGTAAGAGTAAAAGTGAATAAAGTATATAACACTGTTTTATCAAATATATCTAAGCGTTTTATTTGCTTTGAACATAGCACTAAGAGGATGTCTAACTACGACTGACTAACTTAGTTTTTAATGCCAGAGTAAAATAGCATAGTCTAGCGGTTATCGACCAAAATTGTTCAAATTAATGATAAAAGCATGAAACTTTGGCAACTAAAGTAACGGAAGAGAATGTCAAATCAACCAAAGACATAAGCTTCATGTTTCTATGGCAAAAAAGTTTTATCAATCGTGATTCAGAAAATAACATTAACAGGTACATTTTAACGTTTAACCACAGAGCACCCAAACATTATGATAAATATTATAGAGGATAGTCAGGTAATGGCGTAAGATGAATACAAATGGACAGAAAATGACTCGGTTGTTATGTTTGAAGGCTTTTGTCGCAAATTTCCCCAAGCAATCTTGTTAAAGAGGTTTTTTTATTCTTAGCCTCGTTTTCATGTTAGCGAATTTCTGACATGCGTGGTTCTCGTCACCAAAAGTTAATTTGGATTGGCCCTACATCAGAAAATGTTAGTCTTCGGGTCATAAGTTTTGTGGCAAAGTTTCATGCTTTTATCATTAATTTGAACAATTCAGTGTTTTTTTGGTCGATAACAGCTGGATTAGCAGGCTTGTCTAATCACGAAACCAATAATATGCAAGATGAATGACTTTTGTTGGCTGGTGAGCGGTATGGATTTAGAATGCAGGACCAAAATGAGTACACCTTTCATTCAGAGAAACTTTGGTGTCTCTTCGGGATTTAGTTCCTACATTAGAATTACCTCTCAGTTTATTCTTATTATAATGCTGATTAAGCAATACTCAAGCAATCAATTTTCATTCTAAACACCGTCAAATAGCAACCGTATCCAAACTAAATTACAATTTCGCATCAATCTGTTTAATCAAAGAAAATTATCATCGGAAGTCGAAATACGTACTTATTGACTGAGCGGGAGGTTCGGATTGGAAAAATTTGGCTGGAGATGTCGCACGCACAAAGCAGCGAGGTCTGCTTTCATGGATGAAAGGAACGATTTTCTTGTCGGCTCGACCAAACTCAGTCATTAATTAAGCATTTTAAGATATGATCAGCTAGTCTTTAAAATTTAAAATTTTCTTTGAGAGATTTCACACAAGCGAATTAAGGAAAATCAAAGGCAAAGTCAAGTTATCTTTGGCGAGCGCCTCCCCTAGTAGAGCCTTACCTAAATACTATCATTTTGATAGTATTTATTACAGCAAACGATAGTCCGAACCTTGCTTATTGCCTTTTTGATGGCTTTAAGTGACCTTCGAAAGCTAAAACATAAAAATTTTTTAGAAAAACATTACACTGGCGCGCGCGCCAACTTTGAGTAAAATGCCTATAGAGCCTACTTAAGTAGGACGCGACAGATTAGTGCACACGGGACAACCACAAAAAAAGATAACATAATGTTCTCCTTTATTTTTTTTCAAGTTAGATAATCGGAATAGTCTTATGATAATGATTGTTATGTAATATGCCTCATACGTCTGAGAACGTGAGTAACAACTGAGAACGTGAGTAACGTCTGGTTACAATTTGCATCTGATTGGTCGAGAGCTTTGTGATCATGACGATGTAAACCAATGATATCCCGAATCATTTTCGACATACAGTCCAAATTTGCATGTGTCAAGATTCAAAAGTGGTATTTCTTTGTATCCGATTGTATGTGGTCGTTCACTACACTGACCATGAACCCACTTCTAGAGCGCCTCTTCCCACCGTTATGCAATAATGTCGAAAAAAGGCAGGAGTTTCAAACAAACTCGCACTCCCCTCGTTCAGGATTCAAAGGCGATACTTTCGCTTCCAGCAGCCATTGTGCAACACATGCAGCAGTTAATGAACAAAAAAACCGTGCAGAATTTCTAGAAGGACACAGAGATTTGCAATTGTACTTGGTAACGAACCAGCGTTTTTCCCGACGGCATGGGTCGCCAATCTCAGATTATTCTCACCGCAGAGAACAAAAGTTCCGGAGTGGCCAGAAAAGAGATAAGGTGCATTTTTATCATACTAAAAGAATGCTTGTTATCTTCGAGAGTAACGAATTGCAGAGTTCTGCGCACGATATTGACTGCGGTAAACGTTGCTTCCTATAGCATAATCTGCTAGACGCTAAAATCAGGGCCGGCAATTTTCGGACTGCTGAATTTCATAGAATGACTTGTGAAGAAATAAGCCACAATCAAAGGAGGGAAAAATAACTCCGCAAAGATATTCCATCAAAGGCAGATAAAGATTTTTGTGTTAAACGCGACACCAAACCGACGCTTCCCCTAACCGCACATATCAAAAACTTCGCATTTTCATAAACAAATGGCAAGGAATATATGAACTGTGTTCACAAATGAAATAAAGCACAATTTTTACGTCATCAAACAATTCCGTTGCCCTTTACAGAGACCGAAGATTTGGACAATTATTTACACCATGCTGACTACCCTGGAAAGTAGTTATCGTTTACTCATTGGCATGACTCGACCGGAATAAGGACAAGTAATTCTAAAGCTACCAACCCTTCTAAAACAAATTGCGAAGAAATAAAAAAATTGAACGAGAGAAGATTGTGTCGTAACGACATTTCGTCGGTGAAAGCAATGACTGATCAAGAATACTGTTCCTGTCTACAAGGATGCTATCGACCAGCTCCCGAGTTGCAAACAGATATGCGAAACTTCCTTCCATGCTGTCAGTTTCAAGCAAGAAACAGAGGAAGGATCCGAAAATGCCAAGGTGGAAGATCGTTCATACACGGACAGCAGACACAAACAGGCCTGCCGACACAAAGAGGGCAGTGGTCTACCGTCGGTGCTGCAACGCTTATTCCCTCTCCACAGAAGTATACCCTAAACACAGCTTCCTGTGCCAATGCCAACACTTCTCGGTGGATCAGCAACCAAATGATCCCTTCGCCAGGATGCTCACGACAGAGCCTTCAACATTATGAAGCAGAACTGCCAAGGAGCAGGGAATGGAACAACTGTGCTGCCACTTTTAGACTGCCTCCTATACAGAACAGCACCAAAGGCAGGTCATTCCACCCTAGCCACTGCGAAACTAGTCAGCATCGCCACGGCCAACATATTCCTGCCACGCTCCCTGAGGAAATGGGAGAAGTAAGATACTCTGACCACCCAAGGAGAAGAAGAAATGGTAGATGCCTAGAAAGCGACACTTCTCGTCGAAACCTGATATTTTATAGAGTGTTACATAAACGTTTCTAAGCACGTCAGAATCAGAATCGAACTTTAATTATGATAAATGTACAAAGTGTACAAAAACTATCATTACTATTAATAAAATTATTACTACAAAAAAATACCATTTTGCCATAAAGGGCCTGAAACGTGCAAAATATGCCACGGAATGACATCTTAAAAGAGGGAAAATTACAGACAGCAATGAGAAAAATTGGTGGCACTGAACGACCCAAAGGCTTCGCTTCATAAACAACGAACCTTTAGGAATTTCAGGTTATTCAATTGTTCATTATTACACTTTCTCGTGGTTTCATTTGTGTTGTTTTTTGTCTTTCGTGCACGCCTTATGTAATCGATACGAACCTCAGACACGAAACTATAGAATTCTCGTATATTTTCCTTGCCCCAATGGTGTTCCAAATAAGGTTATGCAACTCGCAAGATATTCGCCCGTAGCCTAGGTTAAACCATCGTATATGTATTTATTTATGTTCACCGTAAAAGAAAGATACTCTTGTCATAACCAGTTAGCTGTTTGTATTGTATTTAAAGTTGGTATTTGGTTTAGTTAAATAAATAGTAATTGTAGCCTTCTGTTAGTGCAAGGAACAAAGTTTTTTATGTTAAAAAGCATGATTGTTGTTAGAAACGTTAGCCAAACAGGTAACAGTGAAACTTTTCTGAAGAATAAAGAAGAATAAAGTATATAACACTGTTTAAAAAAAATTAATCGTCCTTGCTCTTGTACGACAACGAATCCGTTTTAAATTTTTTTTTAGCTGATTCTTCTAAATTATCTTACGTTAATGAAATCCTTTACTCCTATTGTCACTAGGAGCCCACTCTAGGGTTCAGTGATTGAAAAGAAGTGCTATAGTAAACGGTGTGGAGGCTTTGGCAGATCGTGTGACCCGACCCGACCCGACCCGACCCGACCCGACTCAGATCTCCTCACATTAGATCCTCGTGCACCAAGCTACTGAGATCTCGTTAGTAAGTTAAGCTAGTGCGTATACAAAGTACATATCAGACGTACGTTCTACATTTTATGGAAGGTCAGCTATGTGGAAAGACTAGAAAGCGTCACGTGTGTGTTAAAAAAATGAGTGTTTTCCTTTTGTTTTTTACTTTGAAGCTATTTTGGTAATTTTTTTTGTTGTTTTTTTGTTCCTTCTAACAACCTTTTCGGTAACTTCACGATTGACAGTTTTCTTAAAAAGCTGGGATACTACGCGACGATCCTTGGTTATCTAATGGTATAATTCAAAGCCCGCGCAGCATGATGGGTCTGTGTTGTGAAGCGAGGCAACTAAGCTTAAATGTATGTGGCAAAATGTCGTGAACTTGTAAATGGCTGATAGTGGTCGGGAAGAAAAGCTGGCCGCGGCCAGGAAAAAGGTACAACATTATCGCAATTGTTTTTATCGGGGAAAAACTACATTTTAATTCATGGTCGTGAGGTTTGATTTCTCTCTTATGCCTTGTAGCTCAAGAAATTTCAACAAAAACGGACTCCTTCCTCGAGTCCGCTGGTAAAGGATGTGAAACATAGTGTAGATTGCTCGTCGAATTATTCACCGAGTTCATCAGAATCCGGAGGGAACTTGTCAACAGCAAACGAAAATGTTAGTATAAATCTTTCGTGTGTGTCTTTTTCTTCTTCGCACACACAGATCCTTTTAGATCGGTAGGCTCTATAGTTACTAAGAGTGTGTTTTAAAAAGTGTTTGGGTTTTGTAGCGTTAATGTGGAAGTTTGTCCTTCAGTTTAGAAGATATTCACGCTCACTCAGTCAGTTACTATCCTCTGACTAATTATTTGTAGTTTACTTTTTAAGTTATCTGAATTTATGCCTTCTTGTTTTCCAATCTTGCTCGTTTTCCTTGGGCCAGGTACACGAAAGCAAAGCTTGTTTCATTCAGACATTGTTTATATACAGTCTCAGCTGATACCACTTAGGGGCGATTTGGCGTTCTCTGGTTGGTTTATGATTTAGCTGCTCGAATTTTCGGCAAAAAGTGGTCTGCCCTCACCCAAATTGAATATATTTGGGTTCCTTTTCGTTTGAACAAAATTTCTGAACAGAACTACAGGTTAGCTGATTTCTAAGTGAACGTACTTTTGTAAATACTTTAGTTTTAAATTTATTACCCTAGTGATCTTGCTTACTGAATGAATAGCTTAATTGAGCTATTTAAATTTGAATTTCAGTGTTTGTTGTAAATTGTCTGAAAATTAGTCATTTTTCATAGTAAAATAAATGTACAGCCATGCACTAACCATAAAAATCTGCATTGACCAGCAATCCACGGGTGGATATTGCCAAATTTTCATTCACAATATCATATCAGTAAAATTGTTTTCAAGTATCTGAAGTATCATAACTAGTTATAATCTGCCAGAAGCTAAATAAGAGCATAGCAATTCATACCTCCCACAGGTAATTATCTGACATATACATTTTGATCTAAAGGGATTTACCCCTTTTTGCATGGTAGTTGTTTGTAAATGTTGTCCATTTGAACCTTAAAGTAATCTTAGGTAATTTAGTGTTAACAACTGAGTTGAAAACATAAATTGGCCACCACAAAGGGTAAAAAAGCTGACGTTTTAAATCACTCTGACGAAGGGTTAACACTTGAAACATCAGCTTTTTTATTCTTGGTGGCCAATTTAAATTTTCAACTCAGTTGTTAACACTAAATTACCTGACCTAAAGTAAATTACCCCACTAACGCAGCACCACAGTTTCTTTAGAAACTTACCCCCTATAAAGTAATCCTAGTTACTTGAAAAGATCTGCAGTTTAGTTGTTAAATTCCAATGATGAGACCAATGGAAACATCCATGAGGGTACCGTATTTATTCAATTAAAAGTGCAGTGTTTATTGAAGGGTGGCATTTATATGAGGGAGGCATTTATTTAAAATCCAATTTATTTCTTACAAACAAAAACAATAGTATGGTAACTGACCATTTTAATTTTAAAAAACAGAAACATGTCTCAGTGCTTGTCTAAAAAATCTTTTTTTATATCATTTTCAATTTCACAATCTGCATGTTAATACGTGAAGGTAATAAAAGTGAATAAAGATCTAATGTCAGGTATGCTTTCTCAACATCACAACTGGTACATTCAAAAGGATTTGTGTCTGGTTCACCTAAAATTTCCAACGGTGATCGAAGCATTGATTGCTGTGTGCATTTTGAGTCTATTATTCAAGGGCAGCATTTATTTAATATTTCTGCCCTAAAATGAGGTGTTTATTTGAGGTGGGCACTTAATCAAATAAATATGGTATACTATTATTAGTTGATCCAGTACCAGATTCTCTGAACTAATATAATCAGAAATGTATGGTGGGCAGTCAGGATAATTACTAATTAGATCTTGGAAGTTCAAAAAAAATATAAATTGCTGAGGAATTTCACTTAAACATTATGTGTAAATACACTGTTGTTATCACCTTTCCACCAGAGCATGGGGGTGGACGGAGGAGGAGGTTTACAAGATAATTTTGGTTGTATGAACTGAGATCATAATCATGTAAATTGGCCACTGTAAAGAGTTTCTAATACCGATGTTCGAGTATCAGCCCTTCGTCAGCACTCTGACAAGGGGTACTAACCATCAAAATATCAGCTTTAGAAAATCCAAAGTGTTTCTAGGTGACTTTGATTTAACTTCATGTAAAATTAGAAAAGTGTTGTAATTTATTTCAGCTTGCACATGTCATGTTATTTATATGTATCTCTCCATATCATCAATTCACCTGTATTACCACACTGAAACTTAACTATTTACACAGATGAAATGATTCATTTGTTGTCTTTCAGTGGTGAATAAAAGGGTAACCACACATGAAATAGGCATAGCTTTGTTGTACACATATATTATGTTTGGTACAGTCTATATAAGTTAAATGAACCACTGAGTCTTTTTGCAAACATTTGTAAGGAATATTGTTGAAAAAGTGTACTTACTCATATTTGTTCTGTTTTGTTTTTTTCAAAGGTAAATCATCTCAACCCACCATTATTACCTGTAAATGGGTATGTAAAGTGTAATTATAATGAAGTTTGTGGATGTGGCTGCAAAGTAGACTGTTTTATTTCAAGTTTTGTAGCTAATGCACTCATACATCGTAATTATGCCAACTCACCCAGTTAAGATTGTCTTCAGTGTAGAAGCAGTAGTCTCCCAGTTACAGAATGAATTGGTCTTTCAGAGATTTGCTAAATCTCTTACCTAAAAGTAAGCTGTGATGATTTTTTTTTTATAAAGAGAGAAAACTGGTTTTAATGTTACAGTATCATCATGAAGAGCAATTGGATTTTCTATTGAAAGTTTTATTTTTGTGGATTCTTTTTCCAAGGGTATCACATCATACTATCAATACAGTGCTGAACAGGAAATTCAAACATCAATATTGTATCTGTTTCAGGTTTTATACATTTTGTTACTGACAGAGGAATCTTCATAAAAAGAGACATTTTCATCAATTTAATGGCAACTTGATCCTTCAGTTGAGGCTCCCCCCTAACAATTTAATTTAAAGAAGGGATGACATTTAGTCATTTTGGATGGGGTTCATGATCCAAAATCATCTATCCTGACCTCAGATTTCAGATCTCAATTGGTTTTCATAAAAATTTTTTTGTCTACTGATAGACTTACCAACATCTTGGAAGAGTGTTAAGCAAGAAAGCCAGAGATCGTTGATTAACTATTTGTTTTGTATTCACAGAACACATCTTTCAGAGGAGCTCAGCAATCAACCACAAGTTAGTTCATCTTTATTACTCATAAAAATTTTTGATATGATTAAATGCATCTAGACAAACAGACAGTAGGTAAAATGTTAACCTTTCTTAAATTCCCAGAAGTGACCAACATGAAACTTTTCAAAATTTTAATCATTACCCAGTACAGAAGTAAGGAGAAAAGACATTATTACTGATCAGGATTTGCCTGCTCTCTTTAAGGAATTGGTTGGTGGAGCTGTTGATCATCCTCTTCCATCTGGTTCAAATGACAGGTATGTGGAAAAAGCCTTTTTCTCAAATTAACTTTCCATAAAAGTTAATTTGTGAGCATTTGTGTATTTTACATGTATTTGTCTCCTATAATTGTCTCCCTGGTGTACTGTTTTTGAAACGTATTAGTCCACAGTCCCAAAAAAAAAAGGACAAAGATCAAGATGGTGGTTTTTTTTATCACAAACTTCAACCTCATGTACAATGGAAATACGGAAAACTGTCACATGACCTGGGATATGAGAAAACCTAAGCAGAAAGATCTAACAGTTTTAGTCCCTTGTTTCCAAATGCTGTTGTGTAGGAGGTAGTTAGAAGAAAAAAAGAAAGAAAGAAAAAATACTCCCTTTAAACCCTAGTTAAAAGTGAAACAAGCACAAAGAGAAAGTATTACATGTATGCTTAACCTGGCCAAGAGATGGCATCATTTGCCCTGCACCCTTCTGCTCTTAAAACTCCAGTTTTTATGTACACTCATGCCACGAGCTTCTCACGGTGGCAGCAGATGTTTTTGGGGAATTGCACTTTCTTACTGAAAACATGAAAGAGTTTTTCCTTCCATAACTTTATCCTTGTAATACTGTGGGATTTCTGATAGTCACCAATAAACTATAGTGGTAATCTTTTATTTTGCAGAGAATATTCAACCACTGAAAAAATAAAACAACTCGTAAGTACTAACATGTACCTACATGTGTGTACAATGTCTTCAAATTAAGCTGCAAATATAATTTGTTTTACCAATAGAGTACGTGATTTAGCTCTGCAAAATGAAATGCTAATGTCTTTGAAATTTTATGATTTGTTTCTCAGTGTTCACAAATAAATGGGCTTACAGTCAGCCAGGTGAGGAAAATTGACTTCTGATTTAGTGATACTACTGTGCAAAGTAGTAACTAGTGCATGTATACTACAGTTTTTTTTTGTAGAATGCAAAGATTTTGCCATTGCCATGGTAACTAGTAAAACTTTGCCAACAAAAATTTACACAAATTACTAAAAAAGTAGGCAATTTGCTGATCTGATTGGACTTAGTATGGAAAATTTGATTGGTCAAGAGCAGAGTATTTTAATTAATTAGTATACAAAAGCATGTGAAGTTGACATATAATTCAATATTTGCAGCAGATATGCATTTGTCATTTGGTTTCTTCAAGATAATTTGAATGATCAAACCCCATGTCTTTGTCATCTGCCAAAGCTGAAGACTGAGGCAGATAACTCAGACCCAGTTTTGCTATTACTCATGATATCATGCCTAACCTCATGCAACAGTTGCTTATTATAAGTGATGTAGAATTCTAAAAGCTTTGAACTGCAAATAATTATATAGGGCTTGGTAACTTTATTGAAACTATTCACTAGAAAGAAATACTTGGAATATCATTCTATGGTTGCAATATCCAAACATTACTGTACAGGTATTACTCAGTGTGTATGGTTGTAACTTAAAGTGATATATTTTCATGAACTGTGATGTTCTCTTGGTAGGATCACTATATCAATGGTGAAGATCCACTTTTTCATGAAATCAAGTCTCTTGAGGTGTGTGAGTCTGCTTCTATTTGAAAAATGTTTTGAACTGTGTAGCTCTTGCAGTTCAGCAATACATGTACTTTTTTTTGTCAAGTGGAGGGAATTTTCAGCAATTCTGCTTGTGTTATTTTAAATTTTCATGCTCATACTTTTATCAAAAAGTCAATTTCACCCAAATGCAATTATTAAGTTGATTTGACTTTTGTTTTGTTTCATTCTTATTGTTTCTATTCCTATCACAATCATTACTCACGAATACTGTATTTGTGAATTTCTCTTACTGGTGTTGTAGAATCATGTCGCAAGCAGTCATGTTGTATATCAATTTGTCACAAGTTGATAGGTTTTGTTTGTTCAGGACATTATTGATTTTAACTTAATTTAATGGTTTTGCATCATCATCAAATAACCTGTATATATATGTGTGATTTTTCCGACACATGTTGTTTAGTTGATTTGCAAGTTAAGAGTTGTAAGTATCTGCAATTCAATTAAGGGATAGTTTATTCAATCAGTACACTATTGTCCAGTTTATAAAAGGTGCGATATTTGAGGGTAGGTTTTGCTGTTTGATGAACAGACTTTATATACTTCTTAGTACCATTCATTTTTTTTTCTACATGGGTGACTTCAACCCCATACTAGCTTAAAACTTATAAAGTCAATGTGTGTACTGTGGTTCTTCATGTTCAGGTGTACTGTATTAATTAGAAATTTTTCTCTTACTGGTCAACAAGTTTTTGAAATAGGTAGTTACTTTATCTTTGTACTGTAGGATAATGATGATTAAAATTTCAAAAGCAACCTACTTTTAGTTCAAAGGAAAGTTGTTTACATGTATTGCAACACCTCTTTCTCTTGTGATTTTCAGAGTAGAAACCATGAGCTTGAAGATAGAGTACAGTCTTATAAGAGATCCAATGAACAACTAAACAGTCAAGTTAACGAACAGGTAACTTGTACATATTAAAATATCTGTTGAGATGCAGCAATTGAAGAAATTGCACCATGAAAAATTTGTAATGATTTTATTCAAAAGTGAGCTACAAGTCTCGTTGAAATGGTTCAAATTGTACTGTACATAAAAGTGTTAGAGTAAACAAGTAGTTCAGCATTCCTTAAACATTTCTAGGGTTTTATTTGTTTCGTTTGATTTACTCTTACATTTGTTTTTCCCTTTCATATTGTTTTATTTTTTATATCCTTATTGTATTGCAGAGAAGACAAATAATACAGTTTCAGGAACAGATAAAACGAGTAAGAGTATCAAAAATTAAATTTTTAAAGTTAATGATATAATACCTGTGGATATATGTGCAGTTATACATAAACTATTTGATTACTGAGTGGCCATGATCTGTGTGCTTGATGTACAATACTAAATTTATAGTTAAATGCAATGATGGATAAGGTAATCAGTGTGTATAACAAAGCAAAGCATGATTCTTTGCCTTCTATTTCTTTTCTTCTGGGATGTATTACTTTTGGATTTACTGATTTACATGTACACGCTGTATCCTGCTCTTACACATGTACTGCAACAACCTTTTCCAGAAATTGTTTTCGCAGCCAGCCATATGCATGAACAAATGGTAACTGGATAGGTTTAAATTTATTTCTGATCAAGATAGGTACTTTTGTTATTGCTTTGATAAATCAAAGTAGTCTATAGTATTGAAACAAGTGGTCATGGAAAATGCCGACCATCTGTGTCTCTGGAGAACACTGCTTAAATTAAAAAAAAAAAAAAAAAAAGAAAACTGTGAATTTCATGTACTTGTAGCTGTTAAAAATTTTAGGCATGATCCATATCAACTTTCCTTTAGGAAAGAACAGAGTTGGCAAACAAACAGCTTTTGGAACAGAGGTCACTGAAAGAACAGCTTGAGGTGAGAATTGAAGAAATACATGTATATGACTATCATTTTAACATGTAAAATAAATAAATATTAAAAAAAACTGAAGAAATCTATAAACTATTTTTAATTATTGCTGTGAAATATTGTGCATGAAGATGTTTCTCTTAGCAACAGATATGGCCATTGAAATATGCTCCTGATAAGAGGTATCAAAGCCAGATGTAGATGGTCATTAGCCTTTGCTTCTATCTGTAAAATTAATAGCTTCTACATGTCTATGCCTGATCATTATAAGCAATTATGGAAGAGATATAGTGTATGTTGGTTTCTGAATCCGTTCTTATATTTTGTCAACCTCTGTTATTGTCATATCCTCTTAAACGTTGAAATTTCAAAGTACAACCTACTGAAGTGATTATCAGAGGATTGCTTTTGGATGAAAATCCTTCAATGTGTAGATTCTGTTTTGAATTTGTTGATTAGTAAATAGTTTGTGATCATTTTTTTGTTGTTGTATTTTTGTACAGTATTTTTAAAGCTGTGCTCTTGTTTTCATCCAGGTTCATATTCAGACGATAGGTATTCTAGTGGGAGAGAAACAAGAGCTTCAGAGCTCTGTGTCACAACTGCAGAGGAAATATGAAATCAAACAAAGTAGGTTGCTTGTGATTACACTGAATAGAGATGATAATTGTAAACTTGAATGTAACTTAGGCCTGTGCCACAGGACTTGATGCTGTATTTTCAAATGCACATGCATAATTTCCAGCTTTGTGCACTTTGCTCCCAATGATTGTTCACTTTCAAGATGGTGAAAGGTGATTAGAAATTATTTTGCATATTGTGGAGGGATCTCCAGGTTTGGTTTGTTAAATAAATTGGTTATGTAGAGTGACATGCATACTAAGTGTATGTGTCTATAGTAAAACGCAGCATGTTCTGTTTGGATCCAATGATGACTTTCAATTCACTGACAGCTGCATGTTAGGAACGCACTTAAGTATACATAAAGTTGTCATTCTTGTGGTTCTTCTCTTCTGCCTTATCTTTAACTCACTGTCCAAACTTCTTGTTTTTCTTTCCTATTTTTTATTTTTCTGCCTTGCTAAGTGTGTCATCTGGTGGTGTGGATGATGGTAGTCCTTAACCCTTTCACTTCCAAGATCTCATCAGTAATTCTCCTTAAAGTCTGCTATACAGTTATTTTATTGTTGCTTCAGAGATTTGGCATTGGATCAACCAATAATCTCCTAATTGATATTTTTCTTTATTCTCATCACTCTTCTACTTGATATTGTATTGATGTTGTAAGGAGAAATTCTGTCCACTCATGGGAGTTAAGGGTGAAAAGACTATTGAAAGTGAACAAGACCATTTATTTTTTTTACAATCTCAGTGGAGATCATTGTCAGAGTTAAGGAAGTAATTGTCTGGCATTCAAATGCAGCAACCAATCACCACCAGCACATGCTGCCCAAGTCTTGCAGTCAGTAACATAAATGATTATTGAACTGTTAGTTTGTTTGACTTGGGATAGCACCATGTTTCAACTGCTATACTGCTAGTCATAGTCAGTGTAGGAATTCATAGATTTTGGGTCACTATTTACGTGACACGCTGTCATTGGTTTGTTTCCAATTGTCATCATCATCCTAACATGTTCCAATGAGCTGATTTTGTTCCCTCATAACATCATGGCCAAACTAACAAACTCAATTTTGACAAAACCAATTTTATAGCAGTTGAGATACCAGAAATCTTCATTATAATCTGAATTAGTTTGCAATACATGGAGTACTGTCACAGGAAACAAAATTTTAAGGACTACCATTACATTACTGGATAATTAGCATAATCAGGCTGTAAATTCAACTGTTTCTCCTTGGCTTAGAACATTTACTTCATTTGATTTTTGATTTTCTACTGTTGATTCAATCAAAGCCTTTTTTCTTCATTCCATGTCAGGTGAAAACACAGAACTAACAAGCAGGTTACAAACTGTTCGACAAAAAGCAGCTGAGCTTGAGAAAAATCTAGCAAATATCACTGCAACCTGTGAAAAGTATGAAGATGTAAGTTTATCCACTTTAAAATGTATCAGTTTTTTGTTTTATCCTTCAATATAACCATATAGCCAGATTAATTATGTTTCTGATACACTGTACTCTGCAACCTAACCAAGCCTTGTTTGCAATAGTTCATTGTATGACCTAAACAGTCCTGATGCACTTTTATTGAAGGATAAAAGTTCATTGTATGACCTAAACAGTCCTGATGCACTTTTATTGAAGGACATCTCAGAAAGACCTTAGTATAAAGGACTTATGCAATGTGGTAGACTGGTCCAGAAATAGTTACATGCTGCAGATTGCAGCTCATTGGAATGCAAGTTGTGCACTGATATGAAATCTTGAATGATTGTTGGTTTGTGGGTGAGAATGGGGTCATATTATTGGATCTTTGAAGAAAAAAACAGGGAAATTACTTGTAACTAGCTCAACCATTGTAGGATGGGAAACATGCAAGAAGAAAGGAAGAAAAAGAAAGAAAAGCACTCATATGTTAACATTTGCAACTTTGCAAAATTTGTTATGGCTCCACCAAAGTATTCCTGTAATCAAGCAATCATATTTTCTAACAGGATGTGAAGCAACTTCGGCAAGAAAGAGATAAATATCAGACAGCTAATTACACGCAAAAGTAAGTTTCCCTATGACTAATTTGTACGTGGAGGTTTGTTATGCATGATGTTACTTCACAGTCCTACTAAAAAGATAGACATGATTCCATAGATGTTGGTTTTCCATGCGTAGCATCTGCATAACAGGGTAGTATGATGTTCCAGAAAATACTGTTAGGCTTGATATTATATTTTAATGTAACACTCACCTCCAGAAAACTTCTTTAAATAAACTACAGATAATTTAGATAATTTTTCTTTGAGTTTCATGTCTACATAATGATATAATCATATTATTTACTTTTCCACATATTGAAAAAATGTAAGCCTCTTTACTTCTTATATTCTCCTTTTCCTATCCTTGTGATTGCTGAATTATTTTATGAAACCCCACCTTAGACTTGTGTTATTTTTTTTTTTTTTGCACTTTGCAATTTTCTCTTTCTTGGGGTGTTTGAATATTTTTATGAACTGCACTGATTTATGGACTTCCACTAATTTATTGTTTGTATGCTCTGGGGTGTTTCTGGTTTCAGTCAAGAAAAGGAAGAACTTTTACAACAAAATGCTGAGCTTAGAGTGAAGTTAGAATCCAAGGTTTGTCCCAAGGCAGCATTGTGAACTACAGTAATAAACCCATTCAACTTGACACATCGCTACATTACACACTATAACAGATCATAGAGTAAAAATATTTTGTCACTTAAAACTTGAACAACAACTCTCAGTCCCGCAAGTTTCAAGTTTAAAGAGGCTCAAAACTGTGAGAGGAGCAAACAAATCAAAGTTTAGCTCTTCTATCATATGTTCAGGAATTTTCTCTTTGATGTTACAAGTGCATTTACTTAAAAGATTGCAACTTTTAAAGTCTTTTATTGGAACACATTATGTCTTGCTGATCCAGACACTTACATTCATTTACATGTTTGTTTCTCTGTAGACTCCTAGACATGTTCTCGTGATTTCGATATCAGTTCTCTTTGCTGTTTTTCATACTTTATCACTGTTGCTCTGAAAATTTTACATGAAAGGACTATTCCATAGTTCACATTTTCTTTCATCCTATCACCTTTCTGTTCAAAATTGTATTGATATTATAAAGAGAAATTATGTGTAATTTATTGAATGCTCCTGAGAGTGAAAAAGTAAACCCCTTCACTCCCAAGATTGACCAAACAAGGGAATGACTAATGAGGAGCTTCTCTTTACATTATCAATACCTTTCAAGCAGAAAGGTGTTGAGAAGAAAGAAAAAGATCAGTTAGGAATATTTTTAGGCTTAATTTCCTCCACAATTTCCTCCACAATTTCCTCCACGATTTCCTCCACGATTTCCTCCACAATTTCCTCCACAATTTCCTCCACAATTTCCTCCACAATTTCCTCCACAATTTCCTCCACAATTTCCTCCACAATTTCCTCCACAATTTCCTCCAGTGTCCAGTATTTACTCGAAGGGAGGAGCACAGGCTCATATTCCCAAACAGTGACTGGTAATCAAGCCTGGGATATTGTTTGATTTAGCAAAAGCAAAATTTATGAAAAATAGATGACAGACAGTGCTGGGAATGAACATTTATTACATCCATTTTGAAATCACTGGTGATCCTTGTTATCTGCTTGGCTCTCATTGGTTTTTTGCAAACCGCACCATTTTTTTGCTATAAATTGCATTTTTTTCCTGGTCAACTAGGAAGCTTCACTGAGATGGAACAACCAATTGCTTGTTTAAAGACACCAATGAAACTGCAGGAAAATGAAAAACAACTTTGCTTTCAAATTTCTACAAATCAGCTCACTACTGGATCAACAAAATATTTGTATAGACTAGGAAATCCAGTATCTGAGCCACTGAATTTTGTGATGAAATAAACTAGTAATTGAACTTTGAGCCATGCGATTTTGGTCTCAAATCATACTTGTGATTTCAAATCAAACTCATGCTGCGCACTTGTTTGATTTTTAAATAACGCATATCATTTTGGGCTAAATTGTACTCCACTCAATTACATTATTAATCTTAGGTTTGAAAGGGTTAATAAGGCTAGCAAAATAAAAACTCTTTGGTAAATGAGGTATTCATTATTTTGTTTTAATCTCAACCTTCTAGGTTTCTGAGTGTGAAGATTTGAGCAAGACTGAATCAGAATTATCATTTAAGTTGAAACAGGCTCAACTTGTGGTTCAGCAGGTTTGTCCTCTCAATTTCTCACATTGATTAATTTTTTCACTCCAAGATGGCAATATCATTTCTCCTAACTGTCTGCCTGGCATTCCTTATCCTTCTGACCCTCAAGAGTGACCAGCATCTAATTTCTCCTTACAATATCTCCCTAGAATCGCACATCAAAGTTATGAGAATAAAGGAAATGATCATGAACTAAAGAAACTCTTGATTGCAAGACAATTTCTCCTTGTCAGTACTATTGGAAATGTATAAAGAACAGTATGAAGAATATGCATACTGATTTTAAGGACCTGAGGATTGATATTTTAGCTCTGAGAATTTGGTGTGAATTCTGTTACTCCCATGATGTCACTAGTACTTCTCCTCACTATCTGCCAAACAATTCCCCAGGTGTCAGTTTGGAGAATTAGGTATTGGATCAAGTAATAATTTCCTAATTTGTATTCTTCTTAATTCTCATCATATTATATTGTAAGAGGAAATTCTGTCTTGGTTACTCATGGGAGTTGAAAGGTCAATCTTTTCATTGTACACTCTGAAGTTAGTTCATTCTACTCGAAAACTTTTACATTAGCTACCAATGTAATTTTGTTTTTCAATACAGTATATATAAATTTTTTTTCTTTTTTAAACTGCCATTTGCTAGAGGGGGTGACCGATCATTTAACTTTGCCTTTGTCCCTTTTGTAAAGCTTTCAGGAGAGCCAAACTCTTCAGCAAGCCACCAGTTAATTGAGCAATTACAAAGCGAGAAAACCGAACTTGTGAGTAGATTAGAACAGGTAAGCTGCACTGTATATTAGTTCATTTTCAGTTGGTCGAATAAAGGAATAGTACAAACTAGATAATATTTTGATGCTTAAAATCACTACTTCTGCAAAATATTAAGATGTAGGATACCATCAACAGCAAAAAAAAATTGTGGTATTTACTGTACTGGAACCAAGAAAAATTGTTGTGGGCCAGATATGGGGATGTTATTCTGACTATTGTATATTTTTTCCCTTGTCATCAAAGGTTAATAGTACTGTACAAAGAATTGCAACAGATAAAGGAGAACTCCTACAACAGCACGCAGAAGAAGTAGACCAGTATGAGAGAAAGTTAAGAGCCTTGACAGATGAGGTCAGTTTAGTTGCTTTGAAAACATTTACTTCACTCTTTATTTACTCCTAAATTTCGAAGAAGTACTTTTATAGCAGACGTATTTACATGTAGGTTCTGGAGAGAGCATTTTCTAACCTAATGACGATTTTATCGGGAATTTGCATCACGTTACCGCTCAAGAGTAAGTTAACATAACCACGAAACTTGATCCTCCTAAACGTCGCGGATCAAGGCCCAAGTCGAGTTTCGAGACGTTCGAGTCGAGTGTCCGGATGCTCATGACGAGTTTCGAGACACTCGAAAAGAGGAAACAAAGGAATTTTCGCGTGATTAATTTTTCACTGGACTTGAAGCTTCTTACCTTTAGTCGTATTCACGGGATGAAAATCCTAACAGCGTGCATCGTTGCCGGTCCGGCGAAACTTTTCCCGAACAAGTTGTGATAGTTTTGACAATAAACTCGTAAATTCTTATTTTTACTCTTCGTGGTCTCGCCTAATTATTGTTAATATTTTGCCGCGTCGAAGAGCATCGCTGCCACTCGGCCATGTCAGAAATTTCCTTTATTAACAAATCTCCCGTTTTTTCTCACTGCGCTCTTTGTTTGGTATTGGAAACTCTTGTCACCCTTTTAACCAGGCAGATGCAAAACCTTCCCCATCCAGACTTGCTTTTCTTACTTTCTCGGTTTGCTGCCGTAGATACAACTTTGCTTTCAATAATATTGGCTACGTGTGAATTTTAACTCTGTTTTGATTGGCTCTTGTAATTGTTTTGGTTTTAGTTTCCCAGTATTCAATCGTAAATTTATCGAAAGCTTATTACCTAAAAGTAATAACTCTAATAATTTCAAGGCTGCACACTTTTCACGAATCAACGTTAAAGGGAAATGATTCCTTCAAAAAGGGTGGCCCTCGTCTTCCTTTAATTTTGTGTGATCTAGTGTTATTAACGCCGCGGTCAAACGTCTGCGCATATACGAACGTTGTAATGACTAGGTGGCGCGCTTTCAGGCCGTCAGAATCAAGTTGTCTTGCACGAGTTACAAACAACTACACAAGCCAGTAAGTCACGGTGTTTTCAAAGCTTATAACCTTTTTGCCAAAGCCCAAAACAGACTTTTAAATCAACAGGATACCCGTACTTGAATAAGCTTTGTTTTTGAAAAGTTTCGAGTTTTCCTTTTCCCTGCTTTTATTTCCTTTTACAGATATCGATGAAAATTTCAATTTACTTTCGCTTATTTAGCGAGACAGCGGTTATTTCTTACGTTTCCTTAGAAATTTGGCGCGGGAAATTTTGGGCGCGCGGGCGCCCAAAATTATGTACATGATCAATGTTTGACCGCTGTGTTGCTCTGCCTCAGCAGACACTGCAAGTGAACCGCAGACTGACAAATGCAGGCGCTACTCCATTGTCTTCCCAGACAGACGGATGCTAACAAGTATGAACATGCGCATAGCTTATGATAACTTTGCTTTTTTTATTTTTATTTTGAAGGTGGAGTCACATGACAGGGAAAAGAGGTTTTTGATTGCGAAGGAGAGTGAACTTCAAGATGCAGTGCAGAGTTTACAGAAGGAATTGGGTCAGTACGAGTGCAGTGGGTGAAGTTCATTTACCTACATGTACACCGTTATTTTGAAAGAATTTCAAATCACATTCGTTGACAGTTCGTCCCTTAACGAATACTTCAAAAATTCTATTGTGTTCACAATTCAGTTTTAAACTTACGTTCATGCGCTCCCTCTTCTTGTTATACGCAGCTGATCTGCGAGACAAGGAAGCAAGTCAGCAAGTAGAATCAACACAGCTTGCTGCAGCAGAGATTGAGAGATTAGCGGAGGATAAACAGAGGCTGGCTGAACACTTACAGCAAGAGGTACATGCATTGCCTCACTTTTTTAACCCAGTTTTTTTTTCTTTTTTGTGCCATAGCAATTCCCTGATATTTTCTCATTATTCAGACTCATTAATGTTTCCGTTTTGACATGCATCAACCTCACTAGGCGATACCCATTTCCAAGTCAAAACCATTTGTGTAATACCGCTGTTTCAAATGACTCATTTGTTACATTAACTTACACAGACCAACAGAATAAACTGACCTTGTCGAGAGATTGAAGCTGACTACTCACAACCGAACTTCGCTGTTTAAGTCTTACAGTCTTACAACCAATAACAGAACAGCAAAACTGACTAATCAGTTTCAACGAATCAGACTTCAAACAAATGAGTGACAACAACTTATTACTTGATCCTGGTAATGATTCCTGCTCAGGTTGGAGAAATGCCACTTTGTCAGTCACAGTCTTTTCTAAGGGTTACGCCCACCCTAATAATCACTCCATGCGATCGATGACCAGTGTTTTCTTTTTCCATACAAATGTATGAATCTTCCACACTGTCTTATCGTCCTTACGTGCTGTTTTCATCAGATCTTTTAGCACATTATTACAAAGGTTTTTTTTAGATGCATGCATTTCTATGTCTCTTTATAGGGTAAAGAAAATTTAAGACTCGTAAGGTAAGTGTTGTAATGCAATGTACCATCGTGCTGTATTTAAATGTCTCTGTGCATGAAGAGAACTTCAGGTCTTGACAGTGCATGCAATTCCTAACGGGAAGTAGCCTGGGGACTAGTCATCTTGCGAGGGTCCGAGGAACTTTTTTTTTTTGAAGGGGGAGGGAGGGTGACCACATGGTTTTCAGGGGGGGTCAAAAGGATACTGTCATTTTACTCATAGAAGACATCTTGTTGCCACTGCGCTCCTCAACAGCAGTCGATCTTTCAAGTTCTATACGCATCACTGAAATGAGTTTTTCGCTTCCGTCTAACACGTTGCGGAAAGGAAACATGTTCTGTGACTTTTAGGGTTCAACAGATCATACTTCGGAGTTGTTGGTGGCTCTCGGTCTTGAAGTTTGTCGGTCGTGGAAAAAGGCGCATTGAACATTGTTGATTTATTTATGCCTTCCTTAGGGAGCAGGAGAAATATCTACTGAGAATACAGGAGCTAGAGACAGCCGTAGCCCGCCTGGGTGAGGAGTCTATTGATAAAGCTACTCTCCTGGACAGTGTTCAGAGTGACAAGGAGACTATCAGCAGGTCAGAAAACCTCATTTTTTTATTTCCCCTTTCACTCCCAAGATTTCCTTTCTGTCTGCCATACAATTCTCATGATGTTAGTTCGGAGAATTTGGCATCGGATCAACTTATAATCCCCTAATTGATATTTCTCTGCATTCTTAGCACTTGTCTGCTTGAAATTCATTTTGTTAGTTTCTCAGCAAGAGAATAAGTGGCAGTAAATGGTCTAAAAAGCGGGCACTCGACACCAGCTAAACTATGTGAGAAAATCCAGTTTGAAATTGTTGATATTTACATCAGTACCTATGACTAATGATTAAGTTTATGAACCCCCTCCCTATTTAGGTCTAAATGCCTTGAGTGTCAAGTTCAAAATCGCGTTTTCTCGGATAATTAATTATTATTCACCACTTTTACCACAAATTTCATGCTGCAGCTATTTGTTCGTGTTCTTTACAGGGCTTTGAAACAGAATAAAGATTTAAAGACCAAGACGGAAGAATTGGAAGAGAGATTTATAAAAATGGTATGTATTTGTATAATGCTTAAAGTCATTAAATAGTTCTTTTAACCTTTGGTTTCCTCATACCTTCTTAAATATGAACTAAATCCCCCATTCGTTTCGCTTTTTTCTACTTTTGTCACTCCATGACAGCTTTTTCTACTAAATATATGCCGCCTGTCATGAGGATGTGATCATTTTTTCAAGCGGTAGTCTTTGCACAGCCTTTTTGCCTTTTGTCTCCCCTTTAACCCTTTAACTCCCATGAGTGACCAAGACTGAATTTCTCCTTACAATATCAATACAATATGAAGCAGACAAGTGATGAGAATGTAGAAAAATATCAATTAGGGGATTGTAAGTTGATCCATATACCAAATTCTCCAAACTTACATCAGAAGAACTGTGTGACAGACAGTAAAGAGTCTTGGGAGGTAAAGGGTTGCTTGGTAATCAAGTACACCAGAGCGCGCTGAGCATAAGCTGAAAAAGCATAAAGGCGAACAGACTTGAACCTGAACTTGTATAAACTTGTTGGTTGACAGAGTCAAGAAAACATGGAGCTCACAACACGTTTGGAAACTGAGCAACATATGGCTAAGGAACTCGCAACAAAACTGAGCGATATGGGAGTTGAACTGGAAGAGTCCAAACAAATGGTGGGTGTCGTTAGGATCCAGTAGTAAGGGAAGGAAAGAGAATTAGCGAGACTATAGAGCTCTTTTTGTTTTGTGAGGCGAATGAACCGCTGTTTACACAAGACGCGGCCTGAATGAGACGCGAATGTTAATATATGTAAATGGTATATTTTGACTTGTACAAGCTGCTGTTACAATCAATGTTTCAGTACATGAGGAGATCTGTCCTTGGTAGACACTAGCGATATTGTGTGCATGTACTGAAAATGTTCAGAACACTATTAGAACAAATTATAGCCAGGAAAAAACATTATCTTTTATAAAAAAAACTTGAGATTCGCCTACTTCACAAATCGCTTATTGATTCTTCTGTTGTATGTAGCTCCTTGTGAGGAATTCTGAGGTTCAATCACTTACAGAAGAACTGCAAACTGCTAACAACAACCTTAGAGAAGAGGTTAGTGAGTCTGCTCCATTGCATTGGCCATCTTTTTTAATGGTACAGCTCATCCGCCATTTCGTCTTCCTTAACAGGTAATCAAAGGAGAGAGTGTGATATCTTCACTCCGAGATGAACTTGATGTATCGTCACAAACGTTCCTTGATCAGGTTTGTAACGCTTTGCCACAATTCAAGAGTAACCTACCTATGTGAAAATTATCTTCAAGACTTCGACTACTGCCGCTGCCATTTTGAATCCTGCTTAGCAGCTTAGCAACCTGGCCCTTGTGACGTATTTTATGGCTGATTCCGCCTTTTTTCCATCTTTGGCGATCTACTTGAACAACGAGGAGCTACAACATATGCATTCTTGACACAGATAATTAGTTTTCGCGATAAACAGACAGCAGCTATTTGTGAATTGCACATCGTGGCTCCCACCTTTAAAATTGTCGAACATCGTGTGTGTGTTAACAAACCCTACTATTATGGAATCGTTTTTCTATGAATTTGGACACGTTCTGTGTTGCTAGAAATCGTTTCGTCAAACCTTTTAAAAGTACATTAAAGATTTACTAAAGATCTTCGTAGCCAGGCTAAGCCACGTACTGTTTGATACAAATTCTCGTGGTTTTTTTTCCTTGGACTTACGGTCTAAGGGGGAAGCAATGAGGAAGAATTCGTTCCGGAACGTACTCTACGGAATTCCAACACGATTGTTGAGAGCTTATCTTATTTTCTTTCTCAAGATGACTCACCACTTCATTTAACTGAACCTAATCAGTAACGGGAGTTTGTTGGTACAATCACAGCGATGATGAAAAATCTTTAAAAATATTGACCTTGATTACAAGATTATACGCTATCCTGAGCTGTGGTAATTTCTGTCAACTCCTGTGTTGTGTATTGCCGTTCCCCTCGGTTACACTTCCTCATGACGATGTGAGGCGGTCCCTTCTAGCAGAACTAACTTGATTTGATTTGGCTCGAGCCATTTCAAATACTTGACTTAAATCGCGTTCAAAGCAGAAGTTGGTGCTCAGTGAATTATGTCATGTCATACCCATATGATTGCCCCTTAAATGTTTACATTAATATTCACAGATCAAGCAGAAGGACTTTGAAATTTCCGCTATTCGTGGAGAAATCGATAGATCATCAGAGCCACTCAGAGAACAGGTAACTCTCTTTTACTATAATATTCCTCTCTCTCGTTGATCAGGTGAAATATTCTCATAACCCACACGGTTCAAGGTATAGGAATACTAAGAAAAGGAATAACTTGTAACTCCAGCTCGCAGCGGTAAAGGAGAAATAGTTTCGTTTGATGTGTGGAGCATTATAACAACGTTTGTTGCAAAATACTTAATTGACGTTCTCCTTCTCAGTAACTTTATTTGGTACCTGAGTTTAAAAAGGATATAACATCTAGAGTGTGGTTTATCAGTGAGAAAATAATATTAGGGGTAACAAAGAATTGTTCCTTCTTGCTTGTAGCTGGCCAAGAAAGAGTTTGAATTGGCCACTCTTAAGGAGGAGCTAAGCCAATCAGAGGCGAGGCTGACTGAACAGGTACGTCGTGTTACAGCACATTTTATGCCTCAAGGCATCTGAAATTAGTAACGCACTTAAAAAATAAATAAAAACCCAGTTTGCCTAGCCTATTGTTCAGGCGTCTTGTTAGGGAGAGTAAACGTTACAAGTTCGCGATCGTTTATTCGACCGGCCACGTTCGATTCAGAGTTAGAGTAAACGGTGGGGGAAGGGAAGGGCGAGAAGATTTCTACTGCCCCACCTCCTCCCCTCTCCTTCCTTTTTAGTGTTGATTACCTCTTTCATCACCCTGCCTCCCGTTGGTGTAAAAATCAAAGAAGGCAGCTATAATTTTCATCAAGAAAATACTGAGCAACTCGCTCGCCAAAATTACGCTTGCTCAGCAGGCTACAGTTTGCATTGTATTAGGGTTTATGATAGAAAAGTGAACTTTCCGAAAATTGTCTACGGCAGTTCATCTAGTTTGATCAACTTATAGTCGACAGTTCGACATAAAATCTGGTACCATCATCATATCTCTTTTATCTTGAAACTCACCGGTTTGTGTTTTCACTTCTAGTTCGTCTTGAATGAGGACAGTCAGACGTTCAGGAATGAGGCTGAACTTACTAACAGTTTACGACAAGAACTGCAGTTAGCCCAGGTAACAGATCCACATAATGCTCTCGTTAATAAGCTTCTAAAACCAAGTGACTCAATAATATACTACCTTCAAGATCCGTGGAACGACCATGGACAATACTTTTCTACCAAATTCGGTGAATGGTTTTTAAATTTTCGTCCAGTTTTGAGTTTGTATTGTTTATCCAGAGCAAAGGAAAGAAGTTGGATTGCACTGGTTAGTGTTCACACTGGCGTTCGGAAAGCTGTTGAAGACAAGAAATTGGTCATTCGGTATTGCCCGTGTTGTCGGCTGCTTATGACACCGTGGATCATACGCTTTCGTTTCTACTAGTTCAGGATTATATCGAACGCTTTTTTACTGACTTATAATGTTATAGAGGGAATGGCACCGAGCGGGAAGGGAAGGTCAAGGGGTTTCCTGCAGTGGACGAGTATTGCATCCAGAGGGAGTAGCTTTGCTCTTAGTCTTTCTATGCTCATAAAACCGTGCAAATTAGCTCCGGAAGCTCTGCGAGTAAGTCTCTTATAGAGACTTTGCACTAAGATGATGATTACCTCCGTTTCCGTTTAGGAATCGATCAGGATATTAGCAACCGAAAATTCTCAGCTGAAAGCAATGTTATCCAGTATAGAGAACCACAGTAGCATGGAACCGTCACCAGGCGAGAGTAAGTTTACTTATAAATAAAGGGGGTAATTTTCTAAAGAAACTGTGGTGCTGCGTCGGCGGGAGAGTATAACAGGGTAATTTCGTGTTATCAACTGAGTTGAAAACGTTAATTGGCCACCGTAAAGAGTTTAAAGGCTGACGTTTCGAGCGTTAGCCCTTCGTCAGAGATAAGTTTGCTTATAACTTGGTATTGCGTCAAAAGCAATACCAATAACAGGAATGGCAACAAGATTGCCAGTGATGATGATGGTGTTAGTCGAGGAGTGAGTTACTTAGATTAGAAGAAGTTTTCAGTTCTTCAAGTCCTGGCAAATCGCACGGATTATTAGCCTGTAACGCTCAGAAGATATCAACATGTAATTTCTCCTTACTGTATCAGTTTATCATCCACCAAGCAGGTGGTAAGAATAGACAAACTTATCAGTGTAAGGGTGTTTTCTTGTATCGACGTTAAATTCTCCTTACTGATTTACCAGGAAATATGCAATACCCAGAAGGGAGAATTAGAAAAAAGATATTGGTAATTAATGGAGTTACACTAATATATACTCAGGTTCAGATGACTCAGATGACCCAGCTGTGACTCACGCAGGTCACGTGTACAACGGAGATGCCGCCTTTAACATCAAGAAGCTTCCCCCTGAGGAGACCTCGATACAAGCCACGAAGAATACTTTGGAGGAGTCATCTCCATACATGAACGGAGACGTGAGCGAAGGAGAGAGCCCTCTGGACACGGACTCCAGTGAGGATATGAATATGGCACCTCACAACAGCTCCCCGCCCCCTCCCCCACCATCCAAATACACCAGCAGAGAAGACATGGTGAGGATAAGGTGTAGTTTAAAGTGGACGAGTGAATGGGGAAGTAATATGCAAGCGCCCACCCCCCGATTTGTTAATGAAATATTGAGTAGAGAGTAACGGGGTTAGTTCAGCAAACTCTCCTGTGATTCTCTCCCCACCCCTCTCCTCTCCTCTCTTTCCCCTCTCCTCTCCCCTCCTCCTCTATAATCTATTTGTGAAACCACTCAATTGACGTGGCTGTGAATTTGTCTTAATTACATCTTGCCCCTATTACAGCACCTAGGCAATAGTATTAGAGGGTCAATACCTTAGGTTGTGACAGAGGAGGGCAGCATTCTCACCAATTCCCACCATGGCAACCAAGCTACTGCCTGGCAACATAAAACTGCTGTGTGGAATAAATACTCAGCCAAAAAGAGGGAGGGAAGGAAACAAAGCAAATAAGCAAATTGTGCGAAATCATATGGCATTGCCTCTGTAGACCTCCCAGCAAGCCCTTCCTCCTTCCCCCCCCCCCCCATTCCTTCCAACCTCCAACCTCGCATTGGTGAGACCGCTGTATTGACTCGGTTTTCACCTCTTTTAGGTTGATTCATTGTCTGCGTCCATCCGACAACTTGAGATGGAGCGAGACCAGCTGGCTGATATTTTACATCGAACGCAAGATCAGCAGGAAGACGACATCATGAGATTACAAAAACACTTGGAACTACAGCTCAAACAGCAGCTCCAACAACAATATAGACAGGTACGTGAGGTTTTACCCACGAGCTTTCTTCCTTTCGTAGCGTATTTCTTTGCGCGAGTCGGTGGAAATCAGTGAACAAAGATATTCCGGTGTCGCGTGTTGCTCACAGAGTCTGCGCCGACAGACTCTACGCCATCTGTGTTGGGTAATTGTTGGGAGATTTTGATAAGAAGTTGTACGTTAGTTACGTCTGGAGAGTAACTGGTTAAGCTAAAACTTCCGTTTCTATTTCCTTCATTTTGAATTGTTATCTGAATGCCTAGGTTTTATGAAGGGATTTTCCAACAAAATTCTTACCACGCATAATCTTAGAATCTCAAACGCTCCTTTTCTCGAAGGCGTTCTTGACCTACTAACCCAAACTGATGTGACCCAAGAAAAAGCCGCTTGAAATAGTATATCTAGAATGCCGTAATTATGTAGTTTAGTCATCATGCGTGACCGATATTGATCATCCCATAGCGTGACAATCACCTTATTTCTTGCAAGGTTTAGCGTGGCATTTCGGTACCTAGAGTGAACCAGCATGACGTAAAATTAAGTCTAAAATTATTTCTAAGTGCACACTGGAAAATTAATTTTTTGCTTGTTGTGTGACGAATCTTCTCATGTGACAGGTGCAAGAGCAGTTTCAGCAACAACTTCATGAGCAGCAGCAGAAGATTCAACTGCTGCAGGCTGTAGTTGAAAAACAGAAGGATCAGATCGAGAGGAAGGAAGAGCCAGAGCTACCCAACGTTCCACTCGATCAGCTCAGTGATAAAGATATGTCACACGAAGCAATTAAGATGGCTTTCAGCAAATTGCAGGTAATGTGCCGATAAAATTATAAAGCTGATCGATACTCAAAGTGGAAAGACAAAAGAATTAAAAACGATTTAAACCTAGACGATGAATGAAGATGTTTTATCAGAAGTCATGGGAACTCAGACTTTTCCGTTGTTGAAAATTAGCAGATCCCAATTGTTACTTTTTCTTTATTACTGTTCCTGTTGCTTGTAAGACAACAACGAAATTTATTTTGTTTAAAGCATCCGCCACCTCGGAAGGAAACTGCGCTAAGAAGTTTCTATCGCTTGATGACAACAGCCCAATTTTTCTGCTGTACTGTCGACTTTTTCATCATCCTCCCGAAGACTTTAAAGAGAAAAAAAAAAACAAAAATTAATCCTCCCTACTGCGGCATTTTCCTCCAATTTTAGTGAATATCCCTTTGTTTATTGTCCATGTCGTTGGTGACTATTTATTCCAGGCGCGGTTCATGAAATTAATGAATGAAAAAGCGTCCCTCATAGAGAGAATTCAGGAACTTGAACATGTCACCATACAACTGTCCCACGAAACAGAGACTATCGGTGAGTACCTCCTATGAGTTCATTGAGAGAAGGGCCGGATGAAGAAGCTCTTGTGAATTTACTTTCTCTGGTGACGTTGGAGTGTTTTGATTATGATTATTGTTATTTGGTTTTGTGATACAACGGCAGACAGGGTGGTGAGGATGGAAGTTGCGCTTTTGTGTTGAAGCCCGAGTACTTGTAAGATTTCTATTTTACAGTGACAAGGCTGTGTACAATCTCAGGGGAATGCAATTGCTCAGCAAAATTCGTCCCAACCCATTGCCCATAATACTGCCCGTAGCTCTTAATTTTTCTCACCACGATGCAAAATACCACAAACTTAGCCGGTGAATGTGAAGAGCTAGCGCCCACTCCACCCTTTCTGTTCTATCGCGGTTTGCTTGTGCTTACTGTGGAACAATTTTAGTAAAGATGCAGCACTTTTTGCGCCAATTAAATGCAGAGCTTAAACGAGTCGAGAAAACGTCAACGTCTTAGGTCGTCATGTTTACGTGCAGTTTTCCCACTGACTCAGTGGAGTATAAACCTTGATGTTGTGATGACTTTAATTTTGACTTTACATTCCAAACTTCAACTAATACCTGACATGTTTCTTGGCTTTAATGTATGTAGGGGAGTACATCACTCTTTATCAAACCCAGAGGAATGCTCTGAAGTCTTACTACAAAGATCGAGAGAAAATCATTGCTCAGTTGTCAAGCGAAAAGGCCAACATGCAGGTCTGTGGCATATAAATAATGTTTCTAAGTTCTGAACTCGTACTGATATCATTTCATAGGCAGGCTCTTTTATTTTCATCAGCTGAATGGTTGAAACTACAGTATTGTGAAAACAGCTGAGAAATAGTTTATTCATCTATCCCGCTGACTCTAAATATAAGATGCGTCCTTTTACTGGAGGCATGTTCTCTGCTTAGACATAGAAATCTTAAAATAAAAAGAAGCAGGGAAAATAAAACTTTTGCCTTAAGAGGTTGAATTTATTTCCTCTCGCCGACAGAACGGGAAATTCATCCAACTTGTCAAGAGCTTTCGGGTGACGTCAGGGTGAACCTTATACCATCCTAAAGACATCTTTCCACATTTTCCACAATTTTGATCTTATAAAAAATGTCAATCATTTGCGAGTTGGACGAAGAGAAATCCTGCGCCTCCTGTGAGGGTCCAGGATGTAAATTTTTTATAGAGTGTGCAGATTTTCTTTGTCCTACATCCTTGAGAACTGTTATCAAAACATTCTTCTTCAGTCAACGGATGAGCTTCAGAGTGTACGATCTTTCTTGCTCTAATTCCAATCTTGTCACTGCCTGCCCCCCCCCCCTCCGGCCCCTTAGCACGGGTGACTTGAAGTTCTTAACAGTGCCTGCAAATTTCAGGGAAACTCTCCCTCAAACATTTTTCATCTGCTATCTCTTGTTGGATTTCAGGATAAGATGAACCAACTGCAAGAATTGGTCAAACGTATGCTGGAGGAAAGAAAAGAACTCAGAATTCAGCAACATCAGTTACAAAACGTTATAAACAGTCGGATGGTGGCGCACGAACATGAAGCTGTCATTTCTGGTACTCAACATGACGACGACGTTGTAGTACCGCGAGCGGAATTAAGCTTAGAAAGCGAAACGAACAGTCAAAGCTGGGACGACACTGATGTGTCGAAAAGTTCAAGCGTGGATGAGACAGAAAACGAACTTAATCTACTTCAAAATGAGGTGGAGTTAGATCAAAATGATGGAACTGCTCGTCAAATTCTACAGATTTTAGAACAGTTAGGACCTACAGAAGACGGTGCTCATAAAGGCGGGATGTCTCCTGACCTACAGAGTAGAGAATTCTTACCGTGTCGATCTTGCGGAGGACGCGTCCTTAGATTATAGTCTTAAAACAGAAATATTTTTAGCTCACATCATAAATAATGGCTACAACAAGTAGGAACTGAGGTCGTGAGTAGACTGCGGAATATGTCAGGCCAACATAGGTAGGATATACAGGGTTTGCACGGATCATGAACGTCTGGAAGGTCGTGGAATTTCTTAGAATCATGTTCCAAACCTGGAAATTCTTGAAATTTGAGTGTGGGTCATGAAAAGTTAACGAAAATGACTAAAAAAGGAATTTTTGCGATTGTTAAGGAAAAATGCATTCTTTACATGAACGTCTTCGCGATGTTCTGGAGCCAACTTCTCGATCGTAGGACATGGAAAAGGTTCGGGAAACAGTCCCTGGGAAAGTCATGAAATTTTATGATTCCTTAAGAATACGAGCCACGATAAAGTGAACCTGAGTAGAGGGTAGAAAACTAAGAACGGTTTCAAAGCTGTAATCTCTGGCTTATGAGATCTAATAACAGCCTCCGCAGATCACAATTAGTCATTATCGCATTTACCATCCGCGGCACAGTGCATCGTATTCAGAACACTATTTTCTTAAATCTGATATGCACGATCTTCACAGGAAATATCGATATTGGACAAATTTTCTATTCATTGATGAATTCCACCTTTGTCTTAACACAGCCGCAAGTTCTTTCACCTAATTTTGACTTTTCGAGAGCTGCAACAGGGTATTGTCGTAAATATGACTTGTCGAACATAATCGAGAAGCACTCTCTTATCCGATAAACCACTTAAAATTGTACAAGAATGCAAAGTTGAAAAATTCCATATAAATTCAACCAGATTTAGCAGTAGAAGTAAAATTTATTTATTGGGGAATTCGTTTGATCATTAAAGCTCGCGTTTTACGTATAAGTAAATTCGTCAATACCGTTCATAAGCATGGGGTCCACGACGACGAGTCGGCGGTGAATAGCAGTAGAATCTTAAGATCATCGGCTCAAATTTCTTAGATAATTGAGATAATTGAATATATTCATATTTATTCCATACTTTGAACCTTGCTGTCAGTCCTGGTTGAAAAGGCGCCAGACAATGCCAGAGTGATCGCAAGAAATCAAGGCTAATTTCTTGTTTGTTTCTACTCAAAACAATACCTCAGTAAGCACTAGACAGAAATTGCATGCAGTACGAACTGTGCATGTTTTATACACTGGTAAACGCGTTATCTGGATCGCGAATTTTGGGTGAGGTATTCGACAGAAGCTGGACAAGACACGCAAGAATTATGAATTTATTTTTTGAGTTAGCATTCATCCAAAACATTTGAGCCTGTTTGAGGAGCATGGAGTAACGATATGCAGTGTTTGTTCTCAGTTAACAGTGTTCCCTTGATGACCAGATCTTTCTTTCCTAAATAGATTATCAAGGTACGAATTTTTTTATACTGTAAAAGAAAGCAGGTCACTCGGGGGCATGTTCACTGTATTCCATTGGAAAACAATACGTATCTCTAAGATGTTCTTAAATCATGAATCAATTTAGCCTGGTGGTTAAAAAATTAAATTATAATTTTATGGAGAACCAAATAAAGTAGTTTTAAACTTGTTCCATTTGTTCTGTTTTGAAGTGCTTTTTGGTTGTTTCACTTCCTTTTTTACGCATTTAGTTTACAATTATCGAAAACTCGTTCACAATTATATAAAAATACACAGTTTTCCGTATAGATCTACGATAGAAATTAATTCTTGGTTAGCGATCTAATTTTATTCTTAAGCGCTCCCATAAATGACTTATCTCCTTCACAGCAGTTGTTTAGTTTCGTCTCGCTACGCTCTCTCTTCCCCACCAATACGCACCGATTGAAGCAGCCATTGGTGAGAGAGAGCGTGCGTTGCGTAACGACGTCAAACAACGGCTTGCCAAGGTAGAAGACGGGCTCTAAAAGACCTCACGCTAAGGGAGATGTCAAGGCATTTTGTGTGTGCTTGCGTACTTTGAATCAATTCAATGAACGAAGGAACGTTTGTTAGATCTTGATCACTTTCAAAAGGCGCCATATTCACCAATTAGCTCGAGAAAAGGTAAAAATTGCGAATGGAAAAACAAGTTACTACTTTTAACTTTGTTTTCATTATCATTCATTACGAATGTGATTGGATTCTAGAGCCTCTCCGTGTATATAGTAAGGGTGTCTCGAAAACTAAGACCCTTGAACCCAAGGCCTCGTGAACTGAGGCCTCGGAAACTTATCGATGAGCTGTCTTTGACTCTGACGCTTAAAACCAACTGATCCTAACAAGGAGAGCTGACCTCAAGTACATTCCAGTTCACTAATACGCTAGGTTTTCAAGGAATTAGTTTTTGTGGTCTTAGGTCTTGGTTCTCGAGACACTCAGATAAGGCGGAGCATCGAAACAAAACAACAGTTGAAATGCATTGCTTTATATTTCCTGCACTTCTTCAAACTTTTTAAATTCTTTTTCGTTTCCCCCGATACCAAGCCTTTTTCAATCATACGTTCATTTTTTATTCTAGGTCTTTATTTCATAATTATAATTTTTTTTCTCGTTCAGTTTTACCTTGTCGAGGCATTTACTCCATCACTTCACAGTCACCTGTCGATGTCCTGATCTGTTTGATCAATTTTGCTTCTCCTACTTTTTTCCCTATAAGTATCAAGTTTTATTTTTTATGATTTGCGTTCTTCAGATTCAGTTCCTCGATTTCTGAGATCAACGTAATGTAATCTTCCTGTTCCCTTCTTGCTTATTCCTCATAACCGCATTATGAAACTTCATTCGCCGCATTTTGTTAACCAAACGTGCTTCGTATCACAGAAAACTCTTTGAATAATGAAGTTTAACTTGATAAAGTAGAGAGGTCCAAAATAAATGCAGGAATCATAATCTATTCTTTCCTCATTCACCAACAGGAATTTTCAGGTTTTCCGTCTGTTTGTTTGGCTACGGTTATTTGCATGTCTGTGTGCCTTTTGTTTGTCATGGTTCAGCGGTTTCTGCGTGACACTTGATGTTAACCAGTCTGACCGGTCCACAACAACACGTCACCATCATGGAGCCTGCTTCTGTCGCAAGACCCAGATTTTGTAGTAGGATGACTAATCACATTGCCCGCATCCTTTCCTTCTACAATTATTTTTCAATATTTTGCAAAATTTCAGGGATGTGTTGACAAAGGCTATCGCGCTTCCGTTTTGCTATGAATTGTTTTCCAGATTTATTTATTTCGCTTTTATTCCTCAGTCTTATCAGGCGGTGAGTAGTCTTGTAGCTTGTGTAAATTACACGTTGTTTGAGAAAGAGGACTTTGACTCGACCGTTGCCTCTGATTTATTTCGCAGACTTCAAGCCCCGAGTGGGAGCGAGAGAGCGTCAAGTATTCCTGTACAACTAAAACTGGAATTATCACTTTCATCCAAATTGGAACTTTCCAAAATAGTAAGTATTTGTGTGTTGCTTGGAGCGACTGTGAAACAATGTCGCTCTAATTAAGGCCCACATTTGACTGTTAACCTCTAGCTTGTGATATATTAGGGCGTTGAATTGATCGATTTACAAGATTTAAAAGTACTATAGAACATTCTTTGCGTGTGACTTTCAAAAAGAGAAGGATAATCTTTCTCCTAGAAAAGTTAGCAAGCCAGTTACACATTTTAGTTTTGTCTCCGTGACAGGTGATAGTAGTACGTTTGTGTTTTGATTTAGTTCCTGTTTGATGGATCGTTGAATGTTCTGAGTTTCGTTTTATTTCAATGACTCCTAAATTAATGTACGAGGAAAGAAAATTTTTGCGAGGTTTGGGTAGTCGTTAGTAAAGTACGTCTTCCTTACGATGTGAGTTCTCAAAACTCGACACACAAGCTATTTACATATATCTTCTCTTCATTTGTTTTCATTCATTATTCCCAAAACTTTCGGAAGATCTTAAAGCAGAGAAAACTATACTCTTATGACCTGCTACTCAACCGAATTCTAAATAATTTTTATATTTCCTTCTATAATCATATTTGCCGTAGTATGATATTGCATTTTAGGTTTTATAACGTATATAATGTTTTTAAGTTTTAATTTCGCAAGACCATTTTGAAAGATCACCACATGTGAAGAGTCACCTAAGTAACTTATGTGTAAGAAAGCTATGAGGTCTTGATACACCTGCCTCAAATGTAATATTCTTAAATTGCAAATTTTTGGATCAGCTCTCATGTTAAAATTGTTGGTAGAGAGCAAATGGTCAAAAATGACATACAAAATACATGTAGGAACATGGGGTAAAATAGACAATCTTTGTGCGAGAATCCTACTTTAAAAAATACTTTCTAGAGGCCTGCTTAGAGAGTAGACATCTAGAAATTGTCTGTGGGTGCTCTGCTGGAATATTTCTGGCTTCTTCATTTACGGAAACAAAATGTTGCCTAGAATATACATGTACACATATCTTGCATGTCTCCTTTTGCTGCTGTTGTTTAACCTTATCACATGAGATATTTTCACTTCAAGACCAAACAATGACCGTAGAGGAGACTAGTACAGCATTAGAATGACTTAACAACTTGACAACCAAGACCACAATTTTTTCAGCATCATCCACCCACTTAAAACTTTAAGAGAACCTTGCTCCAGCTTAATTAAACACAGCTGACAGTTGAGATGAATGGACAACTGTATACGAAGTTTGTTGTAGCTCAAATTTTACCTTGGTTTAAAGTTTTTTACTGGAAACAAAGGAATCTTTAAGTCCCAAGAAATTAGTCTTTTATTTGATTTTTTATTTGCCTCAGATAATTCATCCACCTAGTCTGACTGGGCTGGATGGCTTAACTTGATAATCTTTAACCTGAATCTCCATAGAATGAATGAAAAAAGTTTAAAGAATCTTTCTAACTCAAAACTTTCATTAGTACTCGTCCTTGTTGGCATAGTCATAGAACATTCTTGAAAAACTCAAATAATTTTTGCTGTCTCGAAATTTAATACTCAAAGACATCTCCCTCCCTTCTGTTTTCACTCTCTCTATGCTGAATTCTTAAACACTCAATATGGCTCAAGTTTTTAGCATAAGTATTATGAAATCAAGAATGGGGAGAATTTTTTGAGGATGTCACAGTCTACGCACATGTTCATGGATATTTATCTCAAGTTTAATTCATACAAAAAAGGAAGATTGGTCTCAAAAAATAGACTCAATGCATTTGGCAGTACATGTATATAAAATGAAGGACAAATCTAGAAAGGAGATACCAATATTTTGAAAAAAGTTTACTTTAAACTTGATATTGTCAAAATTTTTAATATCCTGTGGCTTTTCACCATATGCAAGTTTGTTTGTTTACCAACTAATGGAGTTTTTCCTAAGTGTTTGCTTATTTTGTCAAACCTGTTTTGTTATTCTCACCCACATGAACTAAACCTGATTTGAATAATTTACTCTAAATGGTTTTGACATGTGCTCACACCTGTTACCTGTTCAAGTGTCAATACTTTTAGCACTTGTTTGCCTGGAAAAAAGAGAATCCAAAATATTTTAACAAAAGGGTATGAATTTTGGCCTGATTACCTGATATTTCTGACAAATTAATCGAAACAATTTGCACATTTTTGTGTCAGATTCTAGATTTTTACATTTCTAAGAGTCTTTTTGACCCTGAAGAAATTTAGTGTTAAAATACAGTTGGATAAAACTGAAAATTGCTTGATATGTATCTTCTTCTCATCAAGTGGCTCTTGATTCCTTAAAGCTTAATACATTATAGATAGATCACTTTTTTACTTTTACTATTGCAACTAAAATTATACTTATGATACAAATGGCATGTTAACAGAGAAAGAAGCAGCAACAAAAATTTAAGGGCATCTCTTTAGGTATAGATGTACCTGTACTTTAGCAGTGGGCACTAAACTGCATCACCACAGTTGTGACTCGGTTCTTGACAATATTAGCTCTAAATTTTCAGATAAATATTGGAAGAAGTTCAAGATGTTATTTTTTTGTTACTATCTTCTGGGAGTAAAGAGGTACACCACATCATAGTTTTTCATTATGTTTATCTTCGATTACCTTTCTTTCAGGATGATGTTAAACAGTCTGAATCATCCAAGGATACACCAGTTCTACTGCAACAATCATCATCAGCTTTGCCTTCTTCCTCGTTACACCTCGAAGAGCTTCTTACTCCAAAGGTGGCTCCTGCCACTCCAAGCTATGATACAGAGTCTACTGCAACCACAATCATTGGTAGTACCATTGCATTTAATCCACAGGCAAATGGTCATGTGTCATCATCTGTGATCCTTATTCCTCCCAGTAATTCTGGTCAGGTTCAGGCATCAGACTCCATGGTTGGTGTTAAGGAAAGAAGTCAGTTTGAGCCTTTCCCTACAAAAGAACCAGAAGTTTTGATATCAGTTCTGGACACTGCGTGAGTTGATTTTACTATATATTTTGCGCCCTACATAAAACAGTTTTTTCTTCTTTTTCTGCTACTTGATAAGGCTGAAATAAAAATGATTTCATCAGCATTGTGCAGTATTGTCTTTTGTTCTTCTTTAGACAGTGTTGTAGAACTGTATATTAATACATTAAGATGCATGTGTGTGGCTGTTTAGAAACTAGATACCTTTAAACTGTTAGAGAAGCCTTAATAGTGAGGTCATTGTGCTTACCTTTATAAAATGGACTGTTCTCTAAAATGGACACTTTGCTCTGTCTTTTCAGTGTTCAAGACAGCAGCAAAGTTAAACTCTTTTCTGAATTTCTTATTGAACCTGAGGTAGTAAGGTCATAGTAGCCAATTTTTTTTGCAGATTGTTTTCTTTTGGGAATTTATTTTGGGAGATTTAGGACAATCCATTCTAGCTTACAAACTAGACTACAAAATCTCTACGCCAGATGGTTAAATTAATAGTTTTTGACTCAGGCAATTTTGCAATTTTGTAGCCCTCCAACTCCAATCAGTAACACGCCAGTTCCCACTCCACCTACTCCAGCTGCAGTTGCAAAGGAAGATGAGGACAGCATTACAGCTGATTTAAACCAGGCAGAGGAAGAAAATAAACCAAAGGAAGATGAGATGCCATCATTTGATGAATTCAAAAGGAGAGTTTTGCAAGAAGAAGAAGAAAAGAGCAAACAACAGACTGCCCAGAATGCTAGTGGAACTGCACACAAACCCAAACCCAAAAAGGTAAAGGAGAGAAAACAGAGCAACTATGCATCTGTGGATTGTGGTGCCAAGATTCTGGATCACAATAAGGAGGCTTCTAATGCTGACAGTGTTTTAGTGGAGAACAAAGACTTGTATATGTTAAATCCATGCAGTGCTAAAGTGTGGTTTGTTGTTGAGCTTTGCGATGTAGCTCATGTTAAGAGCATTCAGATTGCAAACTTTGAACTGTTCTCTTCAACGCCAGAAAGCTTTCGGGTTTACGTCAGCACAAGGTATCCAACAAGAGAATGGACAATGCTTGGAACCTTTGAGGCTCGCGAAGAACGATCAATACAAACATTTCCTTTAGATGAACCAATTTATGCCAAGTACCTTAAGGTAAAGTGTGTACTATTTACATTTATATTATGTGTACCATTTATATTATATTATATTAAGTATTAAGTGATGACACATATGAATCAAACCAGACTCAGTAGACAAAAAAGTTACTAGAAGTCCAACAGTCACTTTATCCAAATGTTAATGATTGCCTCACTTTCAAGCACAGATTGAAATGTTGAGTCACTTTGTTTCAGAGCATTGGTCGGCAATGAAAGAAGTTGCTGGTAGCACAACAGTCACTTTATCCAAGTTGTAATGATTTCTTCACCTGTACAGGTTGAGATGTTGAGTCACTTTGGTTCAGAACACTATTGTCCACTTAGTCTTCTGCGTGTTCATGGCAGTAGCATGATGGAAGAGCTTGAAGATCATGAGATTGGGGGACAAGATGACACTGAGAACTCAGAGAGTGAACAAGATATTCCAGTCTTGCCTCCTGAACCCGGGTCAAAGGCTCAAGATGAACCCAAAGAGCCAAACTTCCTTGAGCGCGCTGCTGATACTGTTATGAATATTGTCAAGAAAATTGCTGGAAAGGAGGATGAAAATAGAAATGGTAGTGAAAAAGGAGAGCAGTATGATCATCCCTTAGAATCTGTTACCAGTGGTGGGACAGCTTCCAGTGAGATTGAATCCAAATATAAACATAAAATTGTTACTCTTGTTGGTCATGAAGAACTTGAAGAAAACCAAGTGGAAAACAAGACTAATAATGGCAGCAATACTCTGGTAAAAGAACATCATGAAGACAAGAGGACTTCTCATACACAAGAACAAAAACCCATATCTCTTAACAGTAGCAGTCAAAAGACCTCACTGTGCGAGGATACGGAAAGTGATTCTAAATCAAAAACAACGTGTCCAGCTTTGACTCCTTGTCAGTCGTTTGCCCAAGTGATTGGCCAATATTGTTTAGGATGTTTCATGGGACAGTTGTTGTTCTCCAAGAGTGGATATCAGAAGTCTACATTCCTAGTGAATGCTGTAAAGGATAAAAGAACTAATCTAAGTCCCATTCAGAAATCAAAATCTGGTGAGAAAGATGATGATTCCTCTGAAAGTCAACAAGAAGGAGAACAAGGAGAATGGGACAAACTGGTGATACAGGACAACAGCAAAGAAAAGAAATCTGTGAGTGAAAGTATCATGCAGCAGAATGCCCCATCTGAAGAAAAAAGTCCACAATTATCTGTCAACATTCCCAGCTCATCCCCCGGCAATTTGGATGGAAAAAGTGGAGTTACTGTTTCTAGTCTGTTAAATGTTGAAGATACTGTCTCTGTCTCCTCCAAAATTGTAAAACCTAGTTACTCAGGGAGCCCTTTGGATGTGAAAGGTGAAATATCCGACATCAAAACACCTTCATTGGGGAAAATTTCAGTTGTTTCCGAAGCACCTTTGAATTCTGTGCAGTCATCATCTTCTTCCTCTGTGACACTTCAAAGTTTAGAGTTACCTGTCATTAAAGAACCCAAAGGCAGTAACAGTCTAGAACCAGTAGATGGTAATAATGTACAGGAACCAACCACTCATGGAAGTTTGTCATCAGTTAGTCTGTCATCTACCCATGACAGGGAGCCTACCTTGTTAGTACAGAAGAATAGGTTTAAAGAAGTCCCAGAATCTTCTCAGTCAGATGTGAACCCTTTTCTTAAAGCTAAAGAGAAGAAGGAGCCTGATACACCAGATGAATTAAGGGGAAATAAAGACAATGAAGTCAGTGCAACACCAACAGAATGTAAATCTCTAAATTCTCTACACACTGTGCCATTTTCATCTCCAGATATTGATGTCTTGGAGACAAAACTCACTGATAAAGAAGGGCGAGAAGGAACTGCTCAGCTGCCTGAAGAAACTCAGGCTGAGAAAGACAACCTTTTACCAAATGAGAAAGGTGAATCAAAAGATAAAGAAGGGCAGGTGACTGATTTTTCAAACAAGATTGTAGAACCTGAAGAGTCAGGAGAGAAAGGGATTCTTCCTAACATGGAAAGCCAGGATAGAGTTGGTATTGGTGAAAGCACATTATCAATTACAGTGGGGGAGTCCCAAAGTGTCAGTCCAACAGCTCAGCCTGGTGCTGGGTCTATAACTGACCCTGGTGACCAGTCTGAGTCTGTTCTTCCATTGCCAGCTCCCCCCGTAGCTAGTGCAAGTAGCCATGAATTTATTGCTGCAGCTTCATCAGACACCAATCTGGATGCCACCATGCTTAGTAAAACACAACACCAAGCATTAGGCTCATCAGCTGGTGTGGCATCAGCAGTTGGTTCTGGAGTACATAAGGAGTCGATTTTTGTGCGACTTAGCAACAAGATCAAGGCCTTAGAGCAGAACCTCAACATGAGCACTCTTTACATGGAACAGCTAAATCAGAGGTGAGTCTATCATGCAAGGAAGTATTGAGGGAACAGGGTTGGTATTGGTCTTAAAAATGTAGGTTGTTTTTTTTCAGTTTTGGAGAGGTTTTGTCATGCATAGACTGAAGAGTCCTGGAAGGTGCTGGCAAGTCTCAGAGAGAGTTAGTTCTTGTTGGAAAGCCCTATAGGGAAAAACAAAGACTAACATCTGGAGTTGGTGTTAAGCTATGATATCATTACATTTTAGAGTCATGAAATAAATATATTAGAGTCTTGGAAAAGTCCTTGAAGACATTTTCATAAAAGATGTTCAAACTTTTGGGAATGAGGTTGAGAGGTTGTGAGTTGTGGAAAAACTTGTGAACTAC